GGACTCCCTGGGGCCGTGTAGGCGACCTCGGGTACCACGTTGGGGGTACATTGAACTTGTTAAAATATCTCGGCCAATCTGGAGGGCGCCTCGGTTGAGGCAACTTCGAGATGGCACTGACGCGTTTTAGAACACGATGGCCGGTCTGTTGGGAACAATGTGGTGTGCAGTAGTTTTCCCCCGTTTGGTAAGATCTCAGTGGCGGCAACTTGTAGGCAGCACTGCACGCATTCAGTCTCAGTAGGTTTCGCGTAGAGAAAACAACGACGGGCGCCGTAGTTTCCCTCACTCTCGGAGAGATCACATACGACAGCTGCAGGCTTGCGAAGACAGCGAATCCATGATCAAGCGGCACAGCCCCCTCCCTTCTACGACAATCTCAGAAGGCAATCTGGAGATGGCACGTTGTGAACAAAATTTGCATTATGTCGAGAAGCTCTTCGTGTGATGCAGTCCCATCTGTTCTATTAGCACACCATTGCGAGGCCAAGTAGACATGGCATTCACACACGTCGGAGCAAACTGAGCCTTCAGTCGCCGTGCAGCATGCCCTTGTTTCGGGCAGGGACCTCGGAGCATATAGGTGTGTGTGCTTGCGCGACGCTTCACCCGAAAACCAGATGTTCGTGTGAATGTGCTGTCGTCATGTGAGGCTTGATTACATGAGACTTCAGTATGTGATTGTCGTTGTGTGAGGCTTGGGCATTAGTGGTCTGTTGGGCCCACACGGTGTGCACACATGCACGCGCACATCACCTGTGCCGCTCCCGCTTGCTCCCCCATTCCCCTCCTTCTCCCCACCCCCTGACGCGGAAACGTTCTCAGAGCTTTTTCGCATCGCTCCATGCTCCATTCCTGAAACCCGCAGTGGACAGAGTGACGAGTGGATTGGCAGGAAAAACGTCGCGTCTTCTCCTACAGCAATTCCTAGGCGCTTCGCATAACCCTGCCAGCCCATCCAGAAACAATTCCCAGACGAGTTCCCCTGATCAGGGATACGGAGGGGCATGCATTGGAATAAAGGGCGGGGCAAGGCGTCATACCGCAAGAGGGGAGGATGGAGGTCGAATCGGAGGAGGAGCAGGAATAGGAGGAGGAGGAAGAGGAGGAGAAGGAGGAAGAGAATTAGTTGTAGGGAAAGGGGGAGGGGGAGGAGGAGGAATAGGGGGATTAAGACGGGGAGAAGGAGGTGGACGAGCAGAAAGGCCAGACACATCTTGGATGCCTCCTGGAATTGCTTCGGATGTCTTCCAAGAGTTTCTTGGAGTCCTTTTGGGGTGTCTTGTCTTGGGGTCCCTTGGCAGTCCCAGGAGCTATCTTGGGGCGTCTTGGGTGCCTCTGTGTGCCCTCTTGGGCCCTCTTGGGGGTCTCCTGGCAGTCTCTTGGGAGCCTCTTGGGGGCATCTTGGGGGCCTCTTGGGCGCCTCGTGGGGCCTCCTGGGCACCCCTCGGGGCCGTCTTGGGGCGCCCTTGGGAGCCTCGTGGGCAATCTTGGGGCCATTTTGGAGGAGATCGATCAAAGGACGGGGGCTCCTTAATCAGGGTTCCACCCCCCAGGAGGCAAACATGTTGCCAAAACCATAATCTGCCTGATGTTGGCCTTCTCGCCGAGGCCTCTTTGGGGCGTCTTGGGTGCCTCTGAGGGGGCCTCTTGGGAGTCTCTCGGGAGCCTCTTGGGGGCATCTTGGGGGTCTCTTGGGCGCTCTCGGGGCCGCCTTGGGTCGCCATTGGGAGCCTCGGGGGCCCATCTTGGAGGAGATCGATCACAGGATGGGCCGTACTCAATGAGCGCGCCCACCCCCCACCCCACAGGAGGCCAAAGTGTTGCCAACACCGTAGCAAAATCAATGATTTGGGCTTCCTCGCTGAGGCCAAGAAAAACATTCTGACACCTCGCGACCACCCCATCCAGACCCAGGGGAGGGGGGGAGGGGAGGGATAAACCCCTCCCCGAAGGGGAAGGAAGGGGGTCGGAAGAGGAAACTTTCTAAACCACTCACGGCCTAAAGGGCTGATGGGATTAGCCTGGCGAAGGACCCCACCAGAATGATGCAGCTGTGAGTACGGCAAGACAGATGGGAACTGAGGAGGGGGGCTAGCAAGATAGCTGAGGCGTGCGCGAGAAGGACGGAGCGACGCTGCCGATGGGGTCGCAGAGGTCGGCCGTGACAGATTACGTTTGAATGCAGCCCGGACGCATGCGAACGCTGCCACTGGGGCTTCCGGTGGGGAATCTTTGCGGAGATGGGAGGCGCGGACGTATGCGAACGCTGCCCCTCCTCCTCCTCCTCCTCCTCCTCCTCCTCCTCCTCCTCCTCCTCCTCCTCCTCCTCCTCCTCCTCCTCCTCCTCCTCCTCCTCCTCCTCCTCCTCCTCCTCCTCCCCTCTGGTGGAGCCCCCGAGTGGGCCACGAAGCATGTGAGGAGTGTGCCGACATGGAGTGTTCGGACGCACGCGAACCCTGCCACTGGGGCCTTCGGTGGAGCTCCCGATGGGGCCACGAAACGTGTGAGGGACGTGCCGAATCAGAGGCGCGGACGCATGCGAACGCTGCCACTGGGGCCTCCGGTGGAGCCCATGATGGGGCCACGAAACGCGTGAGGGGTGAACCGACATGGTAGGCTCGGACGCATGCGAAGGCTGCCACTGGGGTCTTCGGTGGAGGCCCCATGTGGGGGGCACGAAACGTGTGAGAGGAGTGCCAGAATGAGAGGTGCAGGCGCATGCGAACGCTGTCATTACGGCCTTCGGTGAAGCTCCCTGTGGGGACACGAAAGGTGTGGCGGAGGGCAGAGGCGCGGCTGAGATGAGGGAGGAGGGGAAAGATAGGAGAGGAGGAGGAGGAAGAAGAGGAGGAGGAGGAGAAGAAGAAGGAGAGGAGGAGAGGAGGAGGAGGAGAGGAGGACGCGCGGCGTTGCTTTTTCCGAAGCGAGGACCCGACACCACAGGATGTTTGGGAAATAGAGGTTCGTGTGGATGGTGTATGTTTGCGCTGTGTTGTACTGTGTTAGTTGTTCCGTGTTCCCCTGTGTGCGGGTGATGACCGATGTTGTTTATAAGTTTGTGTTGTGTTGTGTTGTAGTGCCTTGTCTCGTGTTCGGGTCGTATGGGCGAATTCTGTTCGGACGGTGGTCTGTTGATCAACGACCCAAAATTCAGGAGTTGGGTAATTGATCGTATCGGTGATCCACATGCGCTCACCTAGTTCCTCAGCCTTCTGCGAACGTCTGAGAGTGAGCGGGTCGGCATGTGAGCGAGGCCGCACAGAAACACGGCTTCGTTTTCGCCATTTGGCCACGAATGTGCATGTGGTACCCAGCAGGGCTCAAGCCGCCGAGGCTCGAAATTAGTAGTGGCACTTGTCCCATGAACTGGAGTCAGGCAGTATTGCAAACATCGTGCATCCACAGCTTGAGAGCTCTTTGGCTTCGTCGTGCTTCCGTATCCGCTTTGGCTCAGCCCGCTCCGCGCGAGACGCCTCTCGCCCTCGAGGGCCCCGCTGCGCAGCCGCTGGCGGCGGGGCCGCTGGCCCAGCCCGGGCCGCGGATGTCCCGCGCACCGCCCCGGCCGGCGGTGCCTCGCGGGGCGCCGCGGCGCCGCGGTGCTCTGCTGCTGCTGCTCTGCTGCACGCAGCAGGCTCCCGTCCCGTGGGCGCGGAGCGGCGCGGCGCGCGGCGCGTACATCCAGGGGGCCACCTGCGAACCCCTACAGTCGGGGCGCTGAAGAAGGAACCCTGTTCGTTTGGGAGGGGCTCCGTGTTCCTTAGCTGTTGTGCAGTTTGCCTTCGGTTTTCCTTTGGTTTTCGATGGGCAATGGAACTTAACTTGTGGAGAAAAGAGGCCTCGGCCCTTATTGAGGGTTCCTTAGGTGAACACCCCGACTGTGCCCCACACCCCCCACGATTTCTGGGGGGGGAGGGTGGGGTTCGCTCCGTTGGGGAGCTCCCCCGAGCGGAGTGAGCCCCACCCTCCCCCTCTCAGGAATCGTGGGGGGGCAGGGGCAGGCGTTCGCCTGTGGCCCCCCGATGTCGGCGCCCCTGTCCGACACCACGGCCCCGTGCCTCCTCCTCGGCCGCGGCCTCGTCGCTCGCCCGTGCAGGGCCCGCACGCGCCTGGCGTCGCAGGCGAGGCAGGGCCTCCGCACGAGCGGAGGGATGGGTTGCGGAGGTTTGCATCTGCCGTCTGTGGCGTCGCGCTTCTGGCAGGGACGGCGGGTCCTGCGTGGGCTGGTAGGGACCCGCCTCGGGCGGAGCCGCTCGGAGACGAGTGGAAGGCGTTCGTCGCGCCGGACATAGCGGCCATTGCAGGCGCCGTGGCCTACAACGCCTATCAGAAGAGCAGGGGCGACAAGAAGTAAGGTCCTTGTTCTCGCTCTCATGTCGCATTTACCTTGCGAGGCAAAATGGGTGAGCTTGGGCCAGAGAAAAATGAGAGGGTACAGGGTTTGAGGGATAGACACGTAGCATGGCGAGGAGGAGTCCACGGTCAGTTTGTCCAGTGTGTTGCAGGAAGCACGAGCAAGAAAGGGACGAAGGGGCCTTCTCTTCCCTCTCTCACTTCCACTCCTGGTCTCCTCCTCCCGTTTGCCCCATCCCCCCCTTTATTACACCAGTTATCGCCATTCGTTCGGTTTCTTACGATTGGTGATTCAGGAAGGCGAGCCGGAAACATATAAACAAAGAAGGCTTCCAATCGCCACATTCTCCGTTCACCTAGCCATTGTTGCATCCTCCACGCTCTGTTGGATGTCAGCTGGACGTCCCCTATCATCCTCCCTGCTGCGTCCGCTTCCCCCCCTCCTGTTCCTTCTCCTTTTACATACAAGTTGCAGCATGATGGCACTCGTCATTGCTCTCGTCCTGATCACGGTCATCGTTGCTGCCACCATTCGGCCGACTCGTAAGCTTCCTCGTGCTCCTCCGCGGCGCCCATCTCGGACCTGGCCCTCGCAGGGCGCGCACGCCCGGGGGGCGGAGGCAGACGAGACGGGCGCGGGGCCCGCGATGGAGCAGCACGTGGGCAGGGCGCTGGAGGCCGCGTGCCGGGCAGCCACGCGGCTGGAGCCGCGCACGCCGCACCAGCTGCCCCCCGCGAGCCACCCGTGCTTCTCCGGCTGCTACGACTGGCACAGCGCGGTGCACACCCACTGGCTCCTGGCGCGCTGCCTCCGCACGCGCCCGGGCCTGCCCGCCTGCGCGCGGGCCGCCGAGATCCTCGGGGAGCACCTCAGCGCGCGGAACGTCGCCGTGGAGGTCCAGGGCCTGGCCAGACCGGGCGGCGTCATGCGACCACCTCGTCGCCGCCGCCGTCGTCGCCGTCGCCGTCGGCGTCGTCGGCGTCGTCGTCGTCGTCCTCGCCGTCGTCGTCATCGTCGTCGTCGTCGTCCATGATTCGCCGTCGCTGTCGCCGCAGCCCACCCGGCGCCGCGCAGGGCCTCGCCGACCCTGGCAGGGGTGGCCGGGGAGGCGCAGACGCCGATCTTGGCCCGGCTCGGTGGGGTGGTCGGACGACGTCGCCCGCACAGCGAGCCGCCAGGCTGGGAGGCGCCCTACGGCCACGCGTGGCTCCTGGCCCTTGCCGGCGAGCTCGCCGAGGGCGCCGCCGCGGGAGGCGCGTGGTCCGCGGCGTGCGCCGCTGGCCTCCAGGCGCTGCGGCCGCTGGAGCGCGCGGTGCGCGAGCGCTTCCACGGCTGGGTCCGCGGCCTGGAGGCGCCCAACCGCGGCGGCGTCCACGGGAACACGGCCTTCGCGCTGCTGCTGGGCATCAGGTATGCTCGGTCGTGCCCAGAGCGGGGCGACGCCGCGGGCTTCCTGCTGCGCGCCTGCCGCGAGGCCGTAGCCCGCTTCTTCGGGGCTGGAGCCCTGCCGCCGCCAGATCCTGGCCCCGGCGTGCCCTTCCTCGACGCGGAGCTCACGGAGGCGCTGGTCGTTGCCGAGGCCCTCGGCGACGGCGCGGCGGTGCCCGCGTGGCTCGACGGCGGCACGGTGGAGCGCTTCACGAGCCGGGCCCCTGCCGACGGGGACCCGCACGACGTCAAGACGTGCCACCTCATCGGCAGGAACTTCGCCACCGCCGAGGCCCTCGCCGAGCTCGCCGCGCGCCTCGCCGCCGGCGCCGCCGCCCCCGGCGGCGCCGGCAGCCCTGCGGCAGAGGCCGAGGCCGCGGGCCTCCTCTCCGCGGCGCGGCGGCACTTTGCCGCCGGCGCGCCGCACCTCGACTGCGGCGGGTGGATGGGCGACCACTGGGTCGGCACCTTCGCGCTGCTCGCGGCCGAGGCGCTGGGCCGCGCGGAGGCCGCGCTCGCCGCGCTGGCGCGGGCGCCCGCGGGGCCGCCCGAGAAGCGGCCGCGCCCCGGGCCGGCCGCCGCGGGGGCACCGCCGCGGCGGCGGCTGCTGCTGCACGGCGGGCGGGTGGTGCAGGTCGAGGCCGACGGGCGCACGCTGCGGCCGCGGGCCTGGCTCCTCGCGGAGGACGGCGTCGTGAGCCGAGCGGGCGACGAGCCGCCGCCGCGGGAGCTCCTCGAGGGCAGCGAGCTCGTGGACCTGCGCGGGCGCGTGGCGGTGCCCGGGCTCTTCGACGCGCACGTCCACGTCTTTTCGCTGGGGAAGGATCAGGGGCTCGTGGAGCGGGGGCCAGCCCAGGGTCCAGGGGTGGAGGTGGGGAACGGGCCCAGCTTTTTAAGTCGGGCGTGTCCCTCTCTGGTTTCGACATATTCAAGAATAGCAAAAAAATCATATGGGGGCGATTTCTCTTCTATTTTTGAATATGTTGAACTACGTAGCACCCCGCAATTGCGGATAAGAGTGAGGGCGCGGGCGCGGGCGACTCGGGCGTCGTCAAGCCGGCGGACCTCGTGGCTCCCACTTTCCCTGTCGATGGTGCTCTCCTCCTCCTCCTCCTCCTCCTCCTCCTCCTCCTCCTCCTCCTCCTCCTCCTCGTCCTCGTCCTCGTCCTAATCGTCATCGTTGTCCTCCTCCTCCTCCACCTCGTCCTCCTGCTCCTCCTCCTCCTATTCTTTCTCGTCCTCCCTCTCCCCCCCTCGTCCTTCCATCATCGTCCTCCCATTGTCGTCATGTTCCTCCTCGTCGTCCTCCTCCTCTTCCCCCCCTCCCGATCCTCCCCCCTCCTCCTTTTCGTCGTCGTCGTCGTCGACGTCGTCGTCGTCCCCTTCCTCGTCCTCCTCCTCCTCATCCTCCTCCTCCTCCTCATCCTCATCCTCATCCTCATCCTCCTTCTCCTCCTCGTCCTCCTGCAAAAGCAGCCCGCCGCAGGCGCCGAAAAAATTGGTTTGTACACTGAACGTGGTTTGGGTCGCGGGTGGGCCGCGGGTTCTCCACCGGGAACGAATGCAAAAGATGCCCGCCGCAGGCGCCGAAAAATTTGGTTTGTACCCTGAACGTGGTCGCGGGTGGGCCGCGGGCTCTCCACCTGAAACGAATGCAAAAGATGCCCGCCGCAGGCGCCGAAAAATGTGGTTTGTACCCTGAACGTGGTTTGGGTCGCGGGTTGGTCGCGAGTTGATCGCGGGGTGGGTCGCGGGCTCTCCACCTGGAAGGAATGCAAAAAAAACCCGCCGCAGGCGCCGAAAATGTTGGTTTGTACCTTGAACGTGGTTTGGGTCGAAAAGGTCGCGGGTGGGTCGCGGGTGGGTCGCGGGTGGGTCGCGGGTGGGTCGCGGGTGGGTCGCGGGTGGGTGGGTCGCGGGTGGGTCGCGGGGTGGGTCGCGGGTGGGTCGCGGGTGGGTCGCGGGTGGGTCGCGGGTGGGTCGCGGGTGGGTCGCGGGGTGGGCCGCGGGGTGGGTCGCGGGGTGGGTCGCGGGTCGCGGGGTGGGTCGCGGGGTGGGTCGCGGGGTGGGTCGCGGGGTGGGTCGCGGGGTGGGTCGCGGGTGGGTCGCGGGTGGGTCGCGGGTGGGTCGCGGGTGGGTCGCGGGTGGGTCGCGGGTGGGTCGCGGGGCGGGTTGCGGGTGGGACGACGACAACAAACAACAACAAACAACAACACGAATCCGCACCGCGGAATCCCATTTCAGCCACGCACCCAGGGAGAGTGAATGACCGTTCGGCCCCCTCACTCTGATTTTCAGTTTGCTTCCAAAATCCGCCTGCAGAAGGACATGCCCGATTTAAGCCCAGCTGGATGCTCGCGCTTCTTTCTTCCAGAGGCCGTTCAGAGCGATCGTCCTATAACCACGCCCCTGCCCCATACCAGAGCATCGTTTCACCGATCCCTATCCCCACTAGCGTGGCCTGGGTCTCACGGGCCGATTTACCCCCCCAGATGGCTGTTCCCTTCGGGCTTCGAGGGGGCCTATCCCCAACTGAGGTGGTGGGATTACGGGGCTGAGATATGATGGCCCAGCGGGGTGGAGATCGGTTTACACGATCTTGAACATCCCACCCCTACGTCTCCCCGCAAGGAGGGCCGCGTCGTGGACCTCTCGGGCTGCACGTCCATGGAGCAATTGCAGGAGCGAGTGCGCCAGGGCGCCTCGGACCCCCGTTTCGCGCGCGCCCTGGGCCCCTACCTGCGGTGCGGTCACTGGGACCAGGACGAGCTCGGCCGGATGCCCACGCGCGCGGACCTGGATGCCGCCTGCCCCGACCTGCCGGTGGTGGCCGACCGGCGGTGCTTCCACGTGTCCGTCGTGAACACGCGCGCCCTCGAGGAGCTGGGGCTCGGCCCGGACACTCCGGACCCCGCTGGAGGCACGATCGACCGCGAGGGCGGGGGCGTGGGCCGAGGCCAGCCGACCGGCGTGCTCCGAGAGGGGGCCCTGGAGCTGCTGAAGCCGCTGACGGGCCAGCAGCTGCCCCTGGCCGACAAGAAGCAGCTGCTGCTCGACGGCCTGCGGTGCTGCATGGAGCGCGGCGCCACGGCAGTCCAGACGAACGACTCCCAGGAGATCGGCGACATCGCCGGGTCGTGGGACGCGTACGCCGAGCTCGCCGACGAGGGGCGCCTCCCGTGCCGCGTCTTCCTCACCGTGGGCCACGCAGAGATCGGGACCGGCAGCGCGCCGCCGGTGCCCCTGGTGCACGAGTCGGGGCTCCTATCCTGCGATCGCGCGAAGATCTGGACCGACGGCGCGATGGGCGCACGGACGGCCGCCATGTTGGAGCCATACGCTGACGACCCCGGGAACACGGGGAACCTGAGCATGAGCCCAGACGAGATCAGCGCCGCCGTGGCCAAGGCGAAGAGGCACGGCTTCCGCCTCGAGGCGCACGCCATAGGGGACCGCGCTGCGCAGGAGGTCCTGAAGGGGTTCGCCGAACATCTGCAGCCAGCAGATAGGCCAGTCATGACTCACTGCCAGGTCTTGAATGCCGACCTCGTCGGTCGCATGGCCCAGCAGGGCGTCGTAGCGAACGTTCAGCCACAGTTCGTGCCCTCGGACGCGTACGGCGTCGCCTCGCGGCTTGGCGCGGGGACGGAGAGGCTTCGGCATTCGTACGCTTGGCGGACGCTGCGGGAACGTGGTGTGCGGCTGGCAGGCGGCAGCGATGCACCGGTGGAAGCCCCAGACCCGATCGCGGGGATACGTTGCGCGATGACGCACGAGTCGGACCCCGAGGTGCCGTGCAGCACGCCGCTCGCCGCTGCGCAGCGCTTGGACCTCGGCGACGCCCTGGGCATGTACACGGCGGGGGCGGCCTTTGCGGCGCGCGCCGAGCGCTTCCTGGGCTCGCTGCGCGAGGGCGAGGAGGCCGACTTCGTGGTGCTGCCCGCCGCCGTCGGCTGGCCGCCCCCGCCCGAGGACCTCGTGGGCGTCGCGCCCGACGAGGTCTGGGTCCGCGGCCGCTGCGCTCGGCGCCGCGCGCCCGCCGCCGGGCCCCTGCCCCCCGCCCCCGGCGCCGCCGCCGCCGCCGCGGCCGCCAGGGCCGGCGTGCGAGGCCCGGGCGGCGCAGGGCTCCTCTGCACGCCGTGGCGCCGCGGGCGCTGCCCGTGCTGCGCCTGAGGCCGCCTCCCCGCCCGCGCGGGCGCGCTGCAGGCAGGGGCCTCGGCCTCGGCGCCGCCCCGCCCTCGGCGGCAGGCCCGGTGGCAGGGCGCCGGCCGCGGGCCCGCGGGCGGAAGCCGGCGGGGGCTCGGCGCGGCGCCGGCGTGGCCGGCTGGGTTCCGCGGAGCCCCGCGAGAGGCAGGGCGCCAGTCCGGTGCCGGCAGAAGTCCCAGACATGATGGCGTCGTAAAAAAATGAGGACGGGAGGTTTTTCGCTATTTTCGGCCCCTGGGGGCCCTCGCCGGGCCTCGGGACCGTCAAAAAACGAGTCAGGACGAAAAACCGGCCCCGGGGAAAGGGTCTGGACTTCCAGGGACGCCGTCCTGAAAAAATCAGGACGTCGCATGTCTGGGGTCGTGTCGGCGTGCGTTCGTCGTCTGGCTTGGTTGTCTCAACTCGATCGGGGGTTCGCCACCGCGCAGGCAGTCAGTTGGGCGGGGTGGAGGTCAGCTCCGGCAGCCAGAGGCGGACGCGCCAAATTTCCTGGCCGTATGTTACTCGAGGTGAGGCCCTTTCGATTTCGGGTCGGGGTGAAGCCTTGGCCCGCAGAGACGCCTGACGGGAAGCAAGCACTTGCCAGCAACAACAGCAGCAGCAGCAGCAGTCGGGCTCTGTGTTTGAGCTCCAGCCAACAGCTATCTTAAGCGAGACTGGTCCTGACAGTTGCAGCACGCAGTCAGAGGTGGGCCTCTGCCCCGAACGGTGAAGGTGAGTCCATCATGTACCATCGTCAAACTATGGCTGGCAGGCCAGACAAGCAGACGCCCATCCGCAAGCCTTGCACGAGTAAATATGTGATAAGCCTGGTGACTGAGGTACCGCCGTGCACCCAGGAGCACCATATGATGCAAACATGCGGCTTAAGATTCACGTTCAAGTTCGTCTTGTGCCCAGAGCTGGAATCCTTGATTCCACTCCCGAATGTTGGCGTCGCATCCTTGGTCTGGTCGCCCATCAGTGCGCATCGAGTACTGTCTCAGCATGTTCGGCAGAGGCCGTCAAATGGTGCGCTCGATTGTCCAGAATTTCCTCACGAGTCCCATGAAATCACCGGCCTAGTTGGCCAAGTATGCGGCCGAGGATGTTCGTTCAGAGCTTGTGAGTACCATGCCGTCATGAAACAGAACTACTCGCACTTGGCGAGCCTATGTCCCGCACGCCACCCCGCGCGCATTCGCCACCTAATCGTCCGAATTTGGGAACCAGAATCCTTCGCGAAGTATCTGCAGAACCAGGTGTTGTGGCCAGCGGCTAGCGATCGCACTGCCATTGGTGGCATCGCCCAGTGAAGATCATTGGGCCGCGATACTGCGCAGTAGCACATGAGTAGCTGTGATGGTTTCAAACGGCGAGCTCAGGAAATAGTTGCAACAGCTGCGTCTTCTTGTCAGCAAGATCTGCCCCGCCGCATTGTACAATTCCGGCGCAATTTAGCAGCGTTCCCTCAAGATTGACTACTTGGTCCGGTAGTGCCGCTGGGCAAGCACATGACGAAAATCCCGAAGTCAGCAATGTCCATGTCAGCACATCGATGCCTCAGTAAAGGCGTAGCACATTTCCACGAAAGTCCTGCAATAAATAATGCGCCTGGTCGGGGTCACACACGGCACAAAAATCGTTCGGTTAAGCAATGTTTCTTACTACTGGCGGTGGCCGGCGCAGGATCTCTGTCAGAGGTGGGTGGAAACCTAGACATGCTCATATGTGCGCTCGTGTACTCTCCATGTAGAAAACCCATCGGCGGGTTGCATCCCATCTAAGTGCCGTATAAGTCGCGCCAAACTACGCACATCAAGACTATGCGAGAGGTGGAACAGTATACGGGCATGGCTTACGTGTCGGAAGACCCGAACACCATCGATTTTCATCATGATGCTCTTACGGCGAATGTTAAACAGTATCGCGGCAAATGAATGGCCGCATCAGGTTCATCGCGATTCGAGATGCAAGAGTTATGAATTCTCGCAACATTGGTTTGCATGTTTGGGTAAAGTCGAATAGCAGCATGGCGTCTGCCGCCAGTACTCCGGGTACATCGTTGTTTGGTTCGCTCACACTTGTTGGAAACGTTATTTGCGTAGCCCGCGCATTTTGATTGGAACGTAATTCAAAAGCAGCGACGTCCGCAATTTTGTCCGTATAAGATCGAATTCGGGATTGTTCGTTGACATATACATACCGACGCCCTCATCAGCCAATCTTGATACGTCGACGGTTTTGTTATTTGTTGCCTTACCAGAAAATCTCGGTGAATCAGTCAGTCAGTCAGCCCAGCTTGAGCCCAAGGCGATGTGGGTATCATGTTCTTCTCTTGTGTCCCCAATGCCTCGGCAATTTGGTACCAAGCTCTCAGTCCCATCCCTATAGTTATGAAAGCGTTTCAAGCGCAACCACATCCGAACCAGGCTAATCGCCAGTACGTCTCAATCGAAATTGCGCCCAGGAGAGGCCAAGCCATGGAAATCGCAAGCCACACAAACACACTGTCAAGCGAAACCAGCCTCAAACCAGGCCCAACTAAGGTTCAAAGCAAGCACGCATTGAGGATGCGCCCGGCCAAACCAGGCCAAACCAATGACCAAACCATGCAAATTCTTAGAATGTTTCAGGCGAGACGCCCCCAACCAGCCTCCATCCATTGTCATTCACACACTTGAATTACAAGGAGTAGATGACCCAACAAGAGGGTCCCCTCGCAGGGGATCCTATAATTAACACTTAATTGGAAGCGGGTGTGGCGGCTTCCCCGCGGCTTCTCCGAAAACGATGGATTCATGTGGTTGGGCCGCAACAAGGTGTATGTGGCTGGGGCGCAACAACATGTATGTGGCCAGGGCGCAACAGCATACATTTGATTTCCAGCTATTCTTCGGGCAACGGTTACGAGAAACATTCCTGAGATTGCAGTGTAGCAATCCTCTACGCTTTTACGCCGAAACGTAACGACGCGCGAATCAGAGCAAGCAAAGAAAGCCCTGAGTACTCACACGAGACCAGATTTGCCAATTGTTGTGAATCACCACGTAGATGCACACGCGCATTCAGAGTTTTGAAAAGAGGCGGAGGGGAAGGAAGAGCAGGATAACAGCACAAGTTGGCAGCCTCATGTCTATCACAAGACAAGAATTGGCGATATGCGAAGCCACGTTTAGTAAATGTCTTGCCCGAGCTGCTGCACAATGTAGTGACAACGTGGGCGTAACAAACGAACAGGGCGGATGCGGACAGCTTGCATGCGCAATGTTCGAGGCGTATGTTTAGGCTCCCGTGAGAACGAACGAAGCAGCCATACGCCAAACGCGCATGGGCATGATCATTGGCCAGCGTGCGGGCAACGCCAAACGCGTTAGTTGGCGGACATGCGACGCGCCAAATGCGCCACAAGACAGCGTCGACACGCCACATGCGCGCCGAGAAGACGAGGGAGGAGAGGAGGGGGAGGACGACGATGGACATTAAATTGCATCTATATCAACCAAAAAGCACACAGGCCATGCAAGAATCATTACATGCAATCTGCAGTTGCGGACGCGACGTCCCTGGAGAATCTCTCCGCGAAAGTTTACCATTGTTTGGGGTCCCTCAAGGTACCCATGATAGTTCCATCGTGGGCAAAACAAGAAGACGCCATTACATAAATTCTGAAGCTAGTTCTTGTTTAGGTATCGCTTGCTCGCATGCCCACGCGGCTGGATAAACGCCCCCCGCTTGAAATGCCGATGCGCGTGGGGCGCGATCCCTCGTACATCGCTCCACTTTGCCGAATACCAGAAGCGGTTGGTACAATAATTGGGAGGTGTATGTTTTTGTTTGCTCTGTCCCAACACCTACTTGTTAGAGACGCTTGGTACGAATGCGGGAGGATGTGCAGTAACTTCCTTAGGCATATGTATTGAAAGTTGTCCCGTCTTTTTTTGCCCACTTTGTTCAACCAAGCCAAGTCATGTAGTATATGATTTTGATTATGATCAGCGCTTGGAGTGTTTGTAGTTTTCTTTCGGCTGTAATTGAACCGTGCGTTCAAAGTTTCGAATATGGTGCCAATTCGCGGTTGCTCATTGTAGAACCAAGTGCACCAAGCAATATGCTGGTTGCATTGGCGCTCCAGCGGGATACCATGATACACGTTGATTTTCCACGTGCGTACTTCTTATATTTGTTCCAGTGATCCAGCCCACGGGGACAGCGGGCACCCTTGAGAGATAACAAATTGTTGTTGCCGTTCTTCCGAGCTTTGGCCACATCCCCCCATCCGCGGCGCAGAAA